TTTTTATTATGTATTATAACATTTTGCTTAGAGTTGACATTTTTATTCTGACAAGCACTGTCTGGAGAGCTCTCAATAAATAATACATTTATAATTTTCAGTAAATAAACACTGGACACAAATCGTTATCCTTACTTACAACTGCCCCTCTCTAATAGTGCTTTTACAAGTAAGGTGACTATTCAGTCTAATGCAATACTCTCAGTGCTGGAAAGATATTTTCATTCATTACCCCAGTCACAAGCACTTAAAGCACTTTTAGGCCCTGTTGCAAAACAGCAGGAACGGCAAAGCAAGTAAGAGCAACTAAAACTAAAGTTCATCACCAAAGAAATCTGAGGTTATTTACCCTACAGAACTTGGAAAATACAGTGGCACACAAAATCAGCCACATTCAAGCCCTAACTTTCCCTCATATTTTTATATTTACATCAGCAATTTGAGGAAGGGAAGTATCACAGTCCAGTCCCTGCTATTAACCTGATGACTACAAAATGTATTTCAATTCCCATTTTAATGCATGATCTGATCATAACATTGTTTGTGTCACAGTACATCAGAAACCAATGAAGTTTGAATTTATTTTTCTGCTGCCAAGATCACACAAATGAAGCAACTCTCCATATTTTTATGAGCTATTTACTCACTTACATTCTTTGCCACAGAGCCCAATGTCAGTTGTACCCATTCATACTGAACTTGTGTTTCTTACTGCCCTAAGGAAAAAGCTGGCTTCTTAGATATGCTTTTTTAATAATGCTTTCATAATACTAATAACATACAAATAGCGTAAAGATAGCAGATCTTATACCATGTCTAAAAAGGAGACAAAAATGTAGAGGAACATAGTGCAGAAAATTATATAAAACGGAAGCATGGAGACAATTTATCACATGGTAAAAATTAAATTAAATTAAATTGTATCCAGCAGTAGATAATGTCATAATTGAGAAGTACAGTGGGATTAAAGAAAAATATGAGATGACCCCTGAATGTAAGACATTGGAAAACACAGCCACTAGGGAGGAACCGCTTGAAATGGTCAGTAGATGCTGGCATTGAGAAGATTTCAGCCTGTTTCAGTTTAATCTGTCCCTGTCTACAGCTCAAGCTACAGCTCAAGTTCAGAGACAATGAGGAAAGGCTGAAAGCCCATTTGTTCCAGTGAAAAGGATTTTACTCATCTCGAATATTCAGGGCTGAATAAAGACATTTCCTCAATGTAACATGGGCATCTCAAAATGGTGATAGTAAACATCTACCCAAAAATACTTTAAGGAGTTATCATAGCTAGAAGGGATGTACCAATCTTCAGAATTAACACCTGAATTTCAGACTCTCTGCATCAGGATTCGAGCTATGATCAATTCTGTTTATTAGCAAAAGCAACAATTTTGTAGAGGTGCAGAGGTACAAAGCTTCAAGGAGAAAACAACCTGCATTCAGAAACAGAACCTCCAGAAAAGTTGAAGCTCCATAAAATGCTCCAAAAAAACCATCCTACATCTAGGTAACTGCCTGATAGTAACCAAGGTGTATTTTCACCTGGCAGGTCCTCATGTGACCATTTCCGTTCAACTTCCAGCAGATCCTATTATGAAAAATGCTACCATCACACTCACCACATTCTGTTGATAATCCTGAATTAGAGCTAAGAACTGAAGGGTCATGAAAACCTATTAGCAAAAAAGACTGTCTCCATAATCTGTTGACTTATTCATATAGATCTCATTCTTCATGATTCCTTTGCAAAAGCCTGTACTCTTCCCCATTTCTCTGCCATGAACAAATTTCAGGACAAAGAAAACTGAAGTGAAACTTTCAAATGTAGCATGAGACATACTGACAAATGCTGAAGAATTACTGGACTGTAATCCACACAGAACCTTTGAATAATGAATAGATGCTCAAATGCTACAACACTGGGCAAGATCATAGCATAGACAGGCAGATAATAAATGCAAAGGCGGAAACATGACATGTGCCAGTTTCTTCAATAAAAATTGTGAAATAGCATTTAATCACAAAACAATACTCTAGAAGATTTAAAGGATATAAGACAGGAAATAATCAAAAATGCATAAATCCTCATGTACCTAGAAGGATAAATCAAAATATGAGACAAAATATAATTGACCAGATACAGTATGGTTACACAGGCTGGGTCTGCCTTTGCAAAAAAAAAAAAAATATTTACCTAAACATATGTTGCTTTCTAAATGTCATTAAAACAAGTTCATTAAAGTTATTTCTGCTTCAGACAAGAATGAATCTTTGATAGAAAAATAAAGTACACCAGATAGAAAGAAACTAGGCTACATCTTCTTTTAGTTACCAGGAAAATAAATCTAGAAACCATTTCCTTTGTGGTAATGTTCCTAAAAAGTCTTATATTATTTTAATTTATTAAGACATAGGAATTCACTGTACACGTCAACAAATGAATTCCTAGAAATTTTATGATCTGCAAAACTTGTCTAAATAGAATAATATATTTTTCTAAAATAGCAACACAAATTGCAAGAAAAAGGAGTGACCAACGTGATTTTACCAAGATCATCAGATGAAAAAGAAAAAAAAAAGACAGTGAGTTGCATTAAATTATATGGTAAAGAGGTAAGTAATTCAAGAAGGTTTAGGAAAAATGTGCCTCATATCTCTCCTCTAACTTGATCTGAGTTGTCTTTTGAGTGGACTTTGCAGCTTTTGTGTTTTTATTTTGAAAGCATGTTTGGAGTGTAGCAGAAAAATTCCTCAGCCTAGTTGCTACCATATAAGGTTTCTAAGAAAAAGCAAGTGAAAGGTATGTATTAAATTAACTATACACATAACTGATTCTGAATTTGCTTACCAAAAAATATTTTTAAGAAGAAGAGAAGGGAAACATGATGAGGGTGGTACCTAGCAGATGTGGCAAGGTTTTTCAAAGATGATGAAATGATTTTGAAGAAGGTGGGGTTTTTCACATCCAAAGAGCTTGTTTCTAGCTGAGAGGAACCTGTTACCATTTATGAATTCCATAGGTGTCACAGAAAAGAGAACAGTAGTATTAATTCATTTTTTAACAATTAGTTTAGATTATCCTAATACTAAATTCCCAGTAACACTTTTAAAGCCTTGAAACAAAACAAAATATCTGTAGTCATCAAGAGAACTGAAGAATAAAGAACAGGGGTCTGTAAACGCCAGGTGTATTAGGACAACCAGGGATCATGCCTTCATCAGTGGAAAGCGTGGGTATAGAGCACACCACAAGACAGATAATTTGAATTAGATCTCAGCAAAAATTCTGAAAAACATTCAGAAACATTCATTGACCACAGCTGGTCAATCGTTCAATTGTAGACCTGATCCACAAAAGACAACTCCTGACAGGTAGTGTCCTCAAAGGCTGTTCTTAAAGCTATACCAGAAAACAAGTGTATATGCCTGAACTCTTTCTGTTCTCAGCTGTGGGAGGCTTAAAATGAAGAATACAAAGCTGAAACTCTTCATTCATTTAATACAATATAGCACACACAGGCTCCATTAAAAAAAAAAAAAAGACCACAAACAAAAACCAAACTAACGACAGCAACAAAACTTCCGTAAAATTACAACCAAAATGGTTTACCAGTGTCCAGTTACAAAACACAGTATCTGAAAGTTTAAGTTTCTTTATTTCCCAGTGAATTCAATAGGAAAAACGTACATATTTGTGTATGCAATACTTGAGTATGTCATCCTTACTGGCATGATAGAAAATTTTATAGGGGAAGTGTTAATCTATTTTAAGGCGATATAAAAGAAAACTTTCAATTATTATTAACTAATGAAGCTGAATAAAAAAAGAAAAGAAAAAAAATCACAAAATCAGAAAAGCCACCACTACCAAGTAGTGTAGTAAAATTTCTCTATTGCATATGAAATGAATAATACATGTGAATCCTTAATTTTTAATTTAGATATCTTTAGACATGTTATGTATCAGTATGACTTACATATATCCACCCATAGAGAGAGAGTACAAACAGGTGCACATGACAGAGAATAGATGGAAATTTATGAATATACTACTCTTTATATAGATGTTCATTATTCCAACATGCATACATTAAAATCTTTGATCTCTGAATGTTCAACTATGGTCTTCAAGGAGGAAACAAGAATGGGAAGCAGTTTATAAAAAGCTTGTGCTAGAATTCTGAACTGAGCTTGGTTGAAAAATGATACTGTATACATCGCTCAGAATCAAGGTCAAAAGTGAATTAGGAATCCAGGCCCTGAGTAATGAGGGCTTAGCACTTAGCAGAAATGACATGCCCAGTTTCCAGCTCAGAAGTGCCAGCTGACCTGCCAACCTAGCATTCCAGATCTGAAAGGGGGAAATCTGCTCTCCTAGCTACAGACAAGATGTGTACTACTAATTATTGCTCATACAGGCTTATGATGAAGTACAGTAGGATAGTTGTCTGGAGGCCAATTCTCAGCCTAGAATTCAGGCAGCCCAGGTGATGTAAATCTGTCTCACAAACGTAATATAAGCAATACTCTGAAAGAAAAGTCTCTTACAGAAGGGGGATAGAAAGGGAAAGAAGCAGTCTGACCATGCTATCTAACATAAACTCTTTCTTTGAGCTGTAAAGAGATTTAATACTTGACTGTACTGGAGGATACTTCCAAAGAAAAAAAGCCAGTAAAACAATCTTTCTGCTCATAGAAAAACTAAGATGATGAATATACTGAAGTTATCCAAGAGGCCCTAGAGTCTAGTGTTGTTGATTAAATTAGACACCTGTTCATTTCTGACCTCTTCTGTCTTATGAGAACACATGTCAGCGAAGTCTTTACATACTCAAATTAACGCTAAATATTTGTAGCATTCTTTTTTTTCCCCCCCAGTTACAATTTTCTCATCAATTTTCTCATTTTCAAATCATTACAAATTAAGACAAAAAATGTTGTTTATCTTATGATGTTAGTAATCTTTGTTCAAACTACAAATAATGTTAAAAACGTACCTAAGGTATATTCAGTCCTGTATGAGGTGCTCATGTTCCCAGTATTATACAGAAGACATGACACTGGCTGAAGCACTATTATTAAAGAGAGATTAAAACAGCTGTACATTATGCT